AAGACATAAATACTACTGAACCTCGTTTAGACGTCCTTATCCACAACGCCGGTTACGCAGACCTTCTTAAAAAAAGAAAATCAGCTGATGATATTGAATTAACACTGGCAACTAATCATTACGGACCTTTTTTACTAACTCATTTATTAATTAAACTATTAAAAAAATCATCACCATCTCGTATAGTAGTTGTCGCATCTTCTTTGTATCGCTTGGGATATTTTAATATTAATAATCCGAATCCAGTGAATGATTTCTCCGGTTACCAATATTATGTATCAAAAGAGGCGAACATACTTTTCACTAAGGAATTATCTAGAAGATTAGAAGGCACAGGAGTGACTGTTAATTGTTTACACCCTGGATTAATTGACACTGGTATTTGGAACTCTATTCCGAGACCTTTGTCTTGGTTCTGGAATTTGGTTATCAAAGGTTTCTTTAAAACACCAATTGAAGGTTGTCAAACTACTGTCATGTTGGCGGTAGACGAAGATCTTTTGAAAACAACAGGGAAATATTTCTCAGATTGTCAAGAAAGTTCCGTATCGAATACTGCAAGTGATATGAAAAGAGCAAAAAAATTATGGGAAATATCAGAAAAGATGGTCAAATTGGATGAAAACGATACTAGGATTTAATGTGTCTTTTTTGTTTATCTGTCTCGCGGTGTGTTTTCATTGCCGAAAGATCTGTACAAAAACATACTGTCAGTACTGGCGTAAAAAAAAAAAACATTGTTGGGGTCTAACGCGCCAAGGCTTGTTAAAAAAAACGCCATTGACGGTTCTTAAAATGTTGGTTACCCTAAAACTGGCGTGCAATTACTTTTTCTTTCATAGACAATGAGGATTGGGATTATTTTTTTTTACAAGTTTATCGGCAGATGAAACCCACGGGACGACATATTTAAGGTTATGTTTGACATATTTTATATTATGACGTATTGTTTTAATTTAAATAAAACTCATATTATATTAATATATTTATTAATTAATGTTACAGACTAATGTTGAATGAATATGTATAGTGAAATGAAATGAGAAAGTTCATGAGAAAATTATATAATCAATTAAATAACTTTGCTATTAATAATTTATTTTTAATTTGAACACACAATTGTGGTTTAACGAAACACTAAGAATAATCTTCTAAACGTATTCTCTGCTGAAAAAATGCTAAACAAACTTTATGATAACTCAGAATATTATTCAAAAGAATTTTCCAGAACACAATTTTGGATCAAGAAGTTAAATTGAAGGCAGACTTTCTTCCACTCGGAGTCAACTTTTAGACATTTGCTTCTCCATTTTTGAACCTTATAATACTTATATAATTACTAACTTTTGCCTACGACTTCGTCCGTTTAGGAATTGAAAAACACCTTAATAAACTGCCTATGTGTTCTACCAGACTATGTTCGACATCTATGCCAAATTTCAGTGAGATCCATTTAGCCACTCTGGAGCCTACTACCTAATTTTGACATCACACGGCATTGCAAAGCTTTCTCTAACTTCTTACTTATAATATAAATGCGAATGTTTAGATGGATATTTGTTTGAAGGTATCTCCAGAATGTCTGAACAGACCTCTATGAAACTTGGCATAGGTGTAGAATATAGTCTGGAAGAACACATAGGCTACTAATTTTCAATTCAATGTATTCTTCACAGTTAGTTGCTTACGTTAAATTTTGTCAGTCAATTAATTCACATGAATCCAAAAATGTATGATCTACTCCTAAAACAGTACCAAGACTTTGTCTTGCCCTTTTTATCTGTTCTGCGTCCATATTTAAAAACCAATCATCATTTAAATTCAAAATATTAGGAGTTGCATTCACTATATCTGGTAAAATATTTGTTGAAACTTTATTAACTATGTTATTTTCTTTCTCTTCAACAATCTTTGTTTCTGTGGCAACAGCTCGAACCTTTTTGTAACGATTTATAATTTTTTCTAATGAATTTGTTTTAGCAATAAGTTGTCCGTTTGTTTTCGGTGTAGCATTTACATAATTATTCGGACTTTGGCTGTCATTGTAATCTAAAGATATTTTTTCATTATTTAAAGCCATATTAAAATTAACAGATTTAAAAATGGGACTCTTTTGATGTAAAGTCGTAGGTGTTATTTGTGGATTGGAATTATTTTGGTGTTTAGGACTCTGCGGAGTATTACAATTACTATTTCTATCCAGCATAGCTATTCCGGATACTTCTAAAAGGGACGGACTGTCTTCTTGCATTATAGATAATTTTCTAGGTCTCAATTTACTTAATGGCTTCCTTTCTATGTTCTCGAATAAATTTGGTGATGAATGACAACGAATTAGGCCAATACTTTCATTAGTAGAAACTGATTCATTGAATAAACAACCTTTTTTAATTATCTCTGGTCTGTCAGTTTTATATTTAAACTTTTTAGAGCTACTGGTTTTCTTAGTTGACAGTAACCTTGTGATTTGTTGTGTGGTGAATCCTGAAGAACATTCAGCGATTGTTTCGTTCACTTTATTACCGTGTGATATCAATGAGAAATTGTGATAATTTTGTGTGATATTAGAATTATCATAGACACTCATTTTACATGATATGCGCGATTTAAGAAAATCATCTCTAGATATAGAGAATAATGTTGTTAATGACTTTGTCTGTGGTCCGTTGAAATATAAATTAGGTTTCCTTCGTAGATTAAATTCATGCTTTGACATACGCATCGGTGTGAAGTTTTCAAATAAGAATTGCTTATCTCTGTGTGTTTTTAATATTGATAAGTCCGGTAACTGTGGTATTTCAACAGCTTTCTTCGATGACTCTGATCGTAACATTATATTCGGGATTACCTGAAATTGAAATAATTATAAATTAGATTTTGTCTATGTATTTTTTTAAAGTTAAAGTACTGTTTGTGTAAATTTATGACAGCTTATTAGTATAAAATGATTCTATACCAAGTTTTTTGTCAAAATAACTATCTAATCTAAAGAAGTGAAATGAAGGAAGAAACAAAACATCATCAAATTTCTGTCTTTATTCCACTCAAGTAAGATTAACCCAAGAATTTTAGGATTTATCATCAGCTCCCTATATGTACGTCCCCACTGTGGGGCTAGTAGCCTACCTTAGCTTAGGGGTGACTAGGCCATAGTCAAGTAAGTCTCAGTGTGGATTGGTTGACTGGCAGGTTTTTTTTTATAAATTTATCTCATACTTACTAATAATAAATAAAAATTCTTACCGGAAGTTTAGATTCAGCATTTAAAACTCTGTCATTAAGCATTTCCATTGCAGATTTTATTTCCGAATAACTTTTAACAGCATTATTTAAATAATCATTGAATTTATCTATTTCATTAACAATATTGTTATTTTTTAATATATAACAGATAGCTATTAGAAAGCTACGTATTAGATTTGGAAAATTCAGTCGGTCATCTTTTTCGATATTTTTTAAAATATACTTCTGTTCTGTATTTACATATTGTTGTAATTGTAAAGTTGATATCGAGTCTGTTTGTGAGTTATATTCAACTACAAATAAGTTTCGGTCAACTTCACCAGTCCTTCTGCCTATTAATTCTTTACTATTATTCACCGCAGTTCTTCCTGAAGTTAATAATGGTGTTATTAGTGTTACCCAATTAGTTTCCAGTTCCGTAATTTTATTGTCAACTTCAATGAGACATATATCAAAGAAATCACAAGGTTTATCTATATCTTTGATCTCTAATAACTTGTTTCTTACATTTTCATTTGGTTGATATTTATTTATGTATGTATCAACTAAATTATTAATATAATTTTGTGGATTTGTTGTATGAAGTTTTGCTTCCATCTTTGAAATGCTTATTCTGAATAATTCAGCTATTATTTCGTAAGTTTTTCGTTTGTTGAAACAATGATTTAGTTCTTCAAATATTACTTGTGTTTCATTATCTATGTATTTATTAAAATCTTCGTCTTTATTTTTATATTTATCTGTAACTTTTTTGTATATATTTTTTTGGCTATCCAACATTATAGACGTAAGCTCACTTTGTACAGCCAATTGAGATAATTGGAACATAAGCATTGTAACCTTGTAACACGCAGGATTGACCAAATATGACGACATCACGGGAGTTAACAGCCCTTTATTACTGTAACTGTTAATAAAATTGGAAATTTCATTTCTATATATCCTTTCGCTATTTGTATCGTATAATGGCCATGTTAATGACGCTGTATGATCGATTATATTGACCAAATAATACGATAAATGATTGAATAAGTTTTGAGTTGGTTTCTCAAGCCAGTTCTCTTTATTAATTAATCGGGTTAATTCATGAGATGTTGAATAAAGCTTGCTTAGAATCTCAATATTTAATACAGTCTCTTTTTTTAGCGTAACAACCAAGTCTCGCTGCTTAACCAAGAGTAACGCCATCGTTTATCACAATCCCCATATGACACACACTGAATTCACTAAGCTCACAAATTAAATTCTATACTTTTGGTGAATTACACGTTCAGAAAACATTAATTAGTCATCATCCACATTTTGCACTCATTTAAACTTTTACAAGATTCAATTTTTCAAAACAATCTGTCAAGAAATTCCGTTGATCACATTTTTTTAATGCTTCATGACGACCAAAGGCAAAGGCAAAGTGAAGTCAACGGCAATCATGATGTAACTTAATAAAGTAAGTCAGTTTTTAAAATAGTGAAAATATAAGAAAAACTAGTTTTAAAAAGATACGCTTCTGCCTTAATTTGTTTAAGCAATGGAAGTTTTTAATTTTTTAATAAATTTAAAACGATACTCTCTGGTTTCCGGCGTGGGTTTGGAGAGCGGTACCAAAGAGCACGAAGCTTTGACACATAACCTCAAATTTTTGAGGGGGCTTAAACAAAACACACGTGTTTTGTTCCCCCTTATTATTTTAAATGTTATTTACAAATTGCAGTTAAAATGGTGAATATTTCAAGTGTTATTTACCGTGAATTACGTGCGAAGTATTTGATTTAACACATATTGTAATTACAGAGTAAGCTATACGTGTTATATGAACACAGCGCGGGGTTCGCGCTGTTTCGTGTGGCGGAGTTTGAAGAATTAGCAGCATTTCTGCCGCAAGTTGAAGAATCTGTGACTGATTTACAAAGATTCA